GAAAGGTTGTCTAATTTAAACTCTAGCTGAAGATAGACTCTGATAATTCTTTCCTTCTTAAGCTCTACGCACATTCTACTATTCACATCATATGTGGAAAGAAACTCCTCGTAATTTTCCTTCAATGAGAATCCAACTTGTATACAAAGCCCTTGAAGGGAGCTTTGTAAGGAGCTTTAACAGGAGCTGCACAAGGAGCCCCATAACCAGCTATTCAATCAGTTTAAGGAGCTTCATGAGGAGCTTTTTAGGGGAGCTTGATAAGGAGCATTGTAAGCAGCTTTTCAAGCAACCTTACCAAACGAGAATCAAAAGAAGCTTTGCAACCTTATTTGGAGCCTTGTATGGAGCCTTGAAAAGAGCTGTGTCATCTTACAAGCAGCTGTTGCGGAGTTTTTTGAGGAGCTTTCTGAGGACTTGCCCTGTTGGCAAAAGCCTTCTGACATTGCGACCTGACCTGCTGCTGCTTTGCTGAGTCAGGCCCTAAAAAGCAAAACATAAACTCGAGGAAAACAACCACAATCAAACAAACTCGAGGAAGCCAAAGAACACGAAAACAAACAGAATGGCTGGCGTGGCCTCAGGTTTTTGTGTTGGGTTATTCTCGAGGTGTGTTTTGTTTGTTGTTCCTCGAGTTTTTTCGTTGTTCGAGCTTTTGGGGAAAAACAAACAAAAAAACGAAAGTCAGCACTTCTTCTTCCTTTTTTTTGAGGGGGGAGAATTAAGGGACCAAACAAAACCTGCAGTTGTTTCGGCTGTTTGGCTCCAAAAGCTCAAACATCCAAAAAACAACTTGAGAAAACACCAAAACTGAGGCAAAGCTAGCCGTTCTGTTGGGTTGTTTGGTCTTCTTGAAGATCATTTGGTGTTTTTTAAGGTTTTGTTGGTGTTTCTCGAGCCTGTTTGGTTTGTTGAGCCTTTGGAGCCAAAAAACAAAAAGCAACTCGTAGAAAACCAACAACATCTGAGGCCAAGCCAGCCATTCTGTCCGTTTTGATTGGCGTTCTCAAAGGTTTGGTTTTGTTTTAGGTGTTTGTTGGCCTTTGTTTTTTGAAGCAAAGGAGTTGTGGCACCCTAGCTCTTGGCACCAAGAACTCAATGTCAAAAGGGGAGATGTAGCAAACTAAATTCAGTAATGAAGGGATAGCAAGCATTGCATCTTGAGTACTTAGTGTCCTTTTCATGCTGTGATTGTTTATGCTTGAGTTATGTGGTGGTTCCTTGTAGCCAAAAATGTTATCTTTGCAAGAACGGGAGGCTTTTTTACACGTTGACCACAAAAAAGCCAAAACTCAGTGTGCTTTGCATGCTTGACTTCTGAGACGCACTCTGTTGCAGGCCGAAACTCGGCCTAGCATTTCCTTCTTGCTGTCCATCCAAAACATGCAAAAACAGTGTAACCGTGGGTGTGACCAAACCTAGGTGTATATCTACATAAATATATAACAATATATCTATATATATATATATGCAAACCCCGCCCCCTCCCAAGACCCGCGCCCGCTGCTTGTGTAAATGGGCCAAGTCAATTTAAATAGGTTTTACCAAAAGTGGGCTTGTTTCACAATTTGGCAGACTTTCGCAGATGATTTAGCAAGACTTTGCCACCCATAAAACTTAATAGCATTTGCTCTTCTACGTTCTGAACAAATTGTCGTGGTTTTTAATCCTCTTGTTCTTTTTCCAATCATTTCATACATAATCTAGTCAGAACTAGCTAACTGGGCAATTAAATTAGCATCATAAGCAAAGTTAGGTACAGTGCAAAAGCGCAATTCAGCCAAGACAAACACATCTGCTGTCAAATAGAAGTCGTGATGTTCTCTCCATGTGTCCAGATGAATTGTGTTCTGGCACGTCTTCATCGCTAATGTTATCCTGCGCTCGACTGGCTGTAAAACATCTCTGTGAGGGTACCGGCGCAAGTGTATCAAAACAAAGGCAAACCCCTACCTCTTCTGCTTCGCCTACACATCTTCGATATCTCATCTCAACTGCTGTGCAAATCCTCTTCGTCTGTCAACTTACAAACCTGTGGCAAAATCAAAACATCTGCTACGCATCCTTCATCTCTCATCTCAACTCATCTGCGAATCCCCTTCGTCTGTCAGCTCACAAACCTCGGCCAATACCGAAACATCTGCTCACACCTCATATGCCCTGACCAATGCCACGCTGTCTGCTAAAATAACTGATGTCCCTGAACAAGACTGCTGCCAAACAGTATATAAATCACTGGTACTTACAGTGTTTTTCCATATCCAAGGGTTAGTGTGGAGTGTTTAAAGTCATCATATCCAAGGTCCATATTATACGCTATTATTTGTATTTACCGCGGACATCTATGCTTTCCGCCCACCTTCTCCAAGATCTCCCATTTTCACTTCAAAGGGACTAGGTTGGGTCTGCTGAACTCTTCATGCAAGGTGGTGGCTTGCTCACTTCGCCAGCCCACCCCGCAGTTCACATAGTCCCTATCTGACATATCACAGACTTGCAGAATGCGAAATCGAAATTGAATACATGACCAAAAAAGACTTCGAAAATCGGACACTGCGCAAAGGACAGCTCAGTAACAGTCCAGCAATGTTCGACAATGCCAAAGAGTTCTGGGTGGATGTGGGTCAATTCAGTCTGGTTCGAACCAACTCTGCTGCGAGAAGCGGTCTATCGCTCAATGTCAATGCGCGCAGTGAGTGCTTCACCACAAGTCGGAAAGGATACTAAGGTGCACACCCAAATAGGAATGACTGAAAGCAAACGATTTGAAGCGCTCTTGGACCTAAGACTCAAGATTCAAAATTCCCGCAACTCCAGACATTTAATCTTGAATCCAGAATGCCCCAAAACGCTTTAAAGCGCTTTAAAACACATTTGGATCTAAGATTCAAGATTCAAGATTCCCAGCGAAACTTGAATCCAGTACGGGGGCCCCAAAACGCTTTAAAGCGCTTTGAAGCGTTTTTGGCATGGATTCAAGATTCAAGCACTAGAGCCCTGGGAATCTTGAATCTTGAATCTTAGATCCAAATGTGCTTTAAAGCAGTTTAGGTGGATACAGTCACAGTCAAATGTCACCAAATGCGGGCATAGTTAAATACCGTCAAAGTTCCTTGGGGCGATTCTTTCTTTATGGGGGGGGACCATATTTTTATATATATATATGTATACACAATAATATTCGGAGAGTCTTAACAACAAACAAACCGAGAAAAACAAGGGTGGTGGAACGCCTCGCCGCCGTGGAAGGCAAGCGAAACCCAAACACAAGAACATCGACCGACATCGCCCGTCCACACATGCTGGCACATGATAAGCACACCCGCTCATCATGTCAGAAGTGCACACATGCTGGCACATGATAAGCACACCCGCTCAAGCGCATCATGTTATATCTGCGCGCATGCTGGCCAAATGTTAAGCACACCCGCTCACGCGCCTGGTGTCATAAGTGCACAAATGCTGGCACATGATACGCACTGACGCTCACGCGCATCGTGTCATAAGTGCACACATGTTGCAGATGATAAGCACAGCCGCTCACGCGCATCGTGTCATAAGTGCGCACATGCTCGCACATGATAAGCACATCCGCTCACGCGCATCGTGTCACAAGTGCACACATGCTGGCACATGATAAGCACACCCGCTCACGCGCATCGCGTCATAAGTGCACACATGCTGGCACATGATAAGCACCCCGCTCATCATGTTAGAAGTGCACACATGCTGGCACATGATAAGCACACCCGCTCAAGCGCGTCATGTTATATCTGCGCGCATGCTGGCCAAATGTTAAGCACGCCCGCTCCAGCGTATCATGTTGCAAGCGCACACATGCTGGTACATTATAAGCACTGACGCTCACGCGCATCGTGTCATAAGTGCGCACATGCTGGCACATGATAGGCACACCCGCTCAAGCGTATCATGTCATATCTGCGCGCAAACAGGTCCGAACACTTTTCGACGTTTGAGGAGGGGATGCAAAACGGTTGTTTCGCCTAGGCGAAATACTTCTTTTTGGGAATCTGCCCTGCGAAAACCCATACAACATGCATTTTGCTGAATCATTGGCTGCGAGAGAGAACGTGACGCGATGCGCGTGAGCGGGTGTGCTTATCATGCGCCAGCATGTGCGCACTTATGACACGATGCGCGTGAGCGGCTGTGCTTATCATCTGCCACATGTGTGCACTTATGACACGATGCGCGTGAGTGGCTGTGCTTATCATGTGCCAGCATTTGTGCACTTATGACACCATGCGCGTGAGCGGGTGTGCTTAACATTTGGCCAGCATGCGCGCAGATATGACGCGATACGCATGAGCGGGTGTGCCAAAAGTGAAGACAGTTGCACGGCGGCGAGGAGTCCCACCCTGCAAAAACAACCACAATGTCAATGCTCTCACAGGCTCGGGGCAAATGGGATCTGGGGCATTTTTTGTTGCGTCTCGAGTTTTGGGTGTTTTTACACGCTTGCTTGAGGACCAAATAATTGAGAATGCGCAATTAAAGGCGTGTGCAAAATTGATTTGTGCAGGCATCTGTGTAAACAATGCTCTTTGCAGAATTCCCCCCCCCCTTCTGTAAAAAATATCCTCTAGAGCTTCTGTTGTGAAATCGGTGGGCCGCATCTAGAGGAAACCACCCTGTACGAATTGCGCAGCAGGGCTGCGGGTCTGGCAAAAGAAGCTGCACGTGACATGGGTCACGCATTGCACTGCTCCCTTGTCGATCCATACCAATCAACAGGGAAACTGAGCCTGTCGACCTCGAACTGTCCTCAAAACAAAACAAGCTGGCCACGTTTCTGGAATCTCAATGCGGGGACCTTTCTGATCTCATTCTGTCAGTTGATTCAAGGTTGACGTGCCGGCAGCAATTTATCAATCTCCAGCAGTCCCAGCTACCACCGTATCAAATGAGGTGCTATCACAAACTGAGTTCTCACCATACCGGTCTCTGGCCAGGGAGCCCTGCCATGGACTGCTTGTGGCTCACGCCAGAGAAACGAAGCTCTTTTCACGGAGGGTCCAAAACTCTTTGCGAATAGTGTCACGGATCTGCCCATCCACGCGGCCATAGGACATGGCTTGGCAAATCATCATCTTGCAGGCGCACTTCCCAAGGTACTTGGTCAGGTTCTTCACCGCTGCCGCCGGAACGCTCTGGATGTTGCTCCCGGCCAGTGGCTGCATCAAGCGCAGGAGAGGAACCAGTTCGGAGGCGAGGTCGGTGAGGCCTGTGGCGCGTGCGGTCTCTGCGCGAGCAGAGAGTTGAGTGAAGAGCAGGCAAAAGATCTCCGCCTGGTCCATGGCGGTCAGCCAGGCCCGCTGCTTCTTGTCCAACTTCACCTGGGGGGAGTGCCCCAAGTGGCACCGCTTGCAGTGGTGGCCCTGGGGGCAACCGCGGCCGAAGGCAAAGGCGCACGGCCTCGAGCAAAGCTCCGGGTGGTACTGGGAGCCAACGTTCTTGGCCAGACCGATCTGGGCGCCGAGACCTTCCACTTGGCGCTGCAGCTCCTCTTCCTGTCCGTGGACCTCGGTGCGCTCTGTGCCGCGCAGGACGGGCATGCTGGAAGAACGCCTCATAGGCGAGGCTGTCGATGCTGCCTCGCGCACCGTGATGAAGGTGTTCTCATAAGCAAGCTCCATGGCAATTGCACGGGCTAAAGAAATACTTGACCGAAGTGCTTCAAAAAAAACTTGAGGAGTCATGCAAGGGGCGCGCTCCATGTGTTATCCAGTACAGCAAGACTTCCTTAAGATAGCCGTCCAGGTGAATCACGTGGCTTTCATATCCACACGTCGCCTTCATGATCCAGAAAGCTTGCCTTCAATCTGTTATAGATTCACAAAGGGCAAAGTTGACAGTATTAGTGTTTGAAGCGTGTGACCGCTGTGTGTGGTACTCAGCCACCCAAGCAGAGGCAAGGACTCGCATGCTTGCGCAGCAGGAAATTTGGCCGCCACGCCATGCATTGATGACATTTCCGGTCACTGCTGTATGAATAAATCAGTTCGTGTACCATCAACAAGAACATAAATCTCATAGAGATTCTCTGCGTGCTTCTCAAGTCACTCTGATGAAGCCCCTCTCGTGTTGAGAGGAAAGAAAAGCCCAGCGTGCAAAATTGGGGGAGCGGGGGCTGATCAGGTGCAGCAAAGACCTGCTTGATCAAAGGAAGGATGATGGACCGACGAACACCGCAAAACAAAACATGTGAAATCCTCCCCAAGCCATCGGAGGCGATTCGATGCCAGCCTCCGAGCTCGACCTGCAAAGGTTGAGTGCCCGGGCCGTCAGCTAAGCTTCAGATTTGGGTTGGAATGCACCATGTTCATTGGGCGTTGTAAAGGAAACTTTGTCCACATACTACTTTAACTAATCAGCAAACGAACAGTTTGCTGAAGCATTCTTTCATTTATGTTCTTGTGCTATCAACCAAAGGAGATGCAAAGCTGTTGCCATCTTCTCTGCTGTGTGAGGCATGTTTTCGGGTTGTAAGAATGGAACACTGAGTGTTGACATGTATCCAACGACGGGGACGGTGAGGCTGCGCTTTGAGTGGAACGCAACGGTAAATCACAAATGCCACTGAACAGGCATTTTAAGGATAAAAGCGCTTTGGACATCCTTATCTTCCAACACGGGACACTTAATTTCTCACATATGACGGTGGCAAGCAGCAACCAGCAGCTTCAAAGAAAAGCCAGAACAATTCATACACCTGCTTCTCCCTGGTCTTCAAACATACTCTCTGAAAATGCTCGGCTTCTGCCCAGCAGGCAAGAACTGGTTGCAAGCATCCGTGAAGTAGTCGTTGCTCAAAGGCGTGAAAGGAACGAATCTGTTTGACTTTACGAAACGCGAATTCATTTCGTCCATCTTCACTGTGGCAGCTGATCTGGTTTGCCACTGCGCATACTTCAGATATAATCATGACGGGCTTTGAATCAGAGTAGCTGAGAGCGGGAGGCGATCTGATGCCACAAGAGAATGGTGCTCATAGTTGATTGATGAATGGCAACAGGCGTGTCCAAGATTTCGGTGGAAACCGCTGCTTCGCGGATCTCAGTGGACTGCATTCACCTGCCTCTGTCCCAGCAAGCCGCTGCCTGTAGCAAGAGCCCAAACGCTCTGAAGGGTCGCAGCAGAAGCAACTGTGTATGAGACGATCATCTTCAAAAGAGACCAGCTATAACATGACAATTGCCCAGCTGCCCTCTCTTTCGAAGCATTGAAGGTTGCTAGCGCAATGCTATTGACTACAGCCAGTCAGAGTCGAAGACTGGCGTGTAGATATATATAAATAAATATTATAGATAGATATATGTCATGTATGTGGATGTGTATGTGAAACGTACGTACGTACGTACGTACGTATGCATGTGTGTATGTATGTCTGTATGTCGGCATGTCTGTATGTCTGTATGTATGTATGTGTTTGTGTATGTGCGTATGTATGTATGTATGTATGTATGTATGTATGTATGTATGTATGTGTGTCTGTATATATGTATGTACGTGTGTGTGTGTGCAGGTATGTATGTAGGTATGTGTGCGTGTATGTATGTATGTATGTAGGTAGGTAGGTATGTATGTAGGTATGTGTATGTGTATGTATATGCATATGTGTATGTGTTTGTGTATGTCTATGTGTATGTGTATGTGCATGTGTATGTGTATGTGTATGTATGTGTGTATGTATGTGTGTATGTATGTATGTGTGTGTATGTATGTAAGTATGCATGCATGCATGCATGTATGTATGCCTGTCTGTCTGTATGTCTGTATGTCTGTACGTCTGTGTGTCTGTATCTCTGTATGTCTGTATGTCTGTATGTCTGTATGTCTGTATGTCTGTGTGTCTGTGTGTCTGTATTTGTGTATGTGTGTATGTGTGTATTCATGTGTGTATGTATGTATGTATGCCTGTCTGTCTGTATGTCTGTCTGTCTGTCTGTCTGTCTGTCTGTACGGTCGTACGTACGTATGTATGTGTGTATGTATGTGTGTATGTGTGTATGTGTGTACGTGAGTATGTGTGTTGGTGTGCATATATGTATGTATGTACGTATGTATGCATGTGTATGTGTATGTGTATGTGTAAGTGTCTGTGTAAGTGTATATGTATCCGCCGACCCCTTCCCCTTTGTCATCATCATCTCTTTTTTCGACTTCAATTGTAGCAGACTAGATGCAAAAGATGCGTGGACATGATTATCATGATGACTGCCCGTGATGCTGAGGATGCGTTATGATGATTGTCATCCGAATTGAATTGCAAAAGATGCGTGGACATGATTATCATGAGGATTGCTGGACAGTTTCATGGTTATCATGATGACAGCTGGGCCGTCATCATCACCGTCGTCATCATGACAGTCATCAGCATCCTTTTCTTTTCTTTCAATTGGTGACGCACAGGGTGCATTGGTGATGCAGAAAATGCTACGATGACCATCAAGTTGGCTTTGGACCATGTTCATCCGAAACTTGCTCGGATGAGCATATTGCCCGCAACACGCGCCAGGAGCATTGTCATCATCATCACCATCATCATCCAGTATGGGTTGAAGTGTGGCGTTAGGATCAATTGGTGATGCAGAGGATGCTACGATGATACTCATGATCACAATTTCTGAGCCCAATTGGTGATGCATAGGATGTTGGTGACGCAGGCGATACTACGACGATAGTTAAATTTGCGTTGGACCATGCTCATCCGAAACTTGCTCGGATGAGCACGTGCTCGTTGACAGCTGTTGGAATTAGCTCACTAGACACATGATCATCATCATCATTCTCACCGTCATCACATCATCCAGTATGTCTGTCTTGTGTGGCGCTGTGATGATTTTCCTTGTTGCTACTGCTACTGGAGATGCTAAGGATGCGTCATCATCGTCAGTGATGATTATCATCATCCTGCTCTGCGCTGCTGGAGGTGCTAGAGATACATGATGACATATCGCAGCTGGAGATGCTACAGGTGCGTAGTGATGACTATCATCATCCGGAAGAATGCAGGGAGCGCAGGGAGCGCGGAGGACTACGAGCAGCCGGGCGGCGCATCCAAGGATTGCTGGGAGTTCGCCAGCAGCAGCCTCGCAGCAATAGTGCTGGGGATGCTAAGGGCTCGGGAGCTTTTGGGGGTGCTAAGCTGCCGCAAAGTTTCGCGGCAAAAAAATGTAGTTTTTGCCGCGAAAAGTGTGGAGGGAATGCAGGTCGTGCGGAGCCTCAGTGTTGATTACCGGATGGCACATCCAAGGATTGCTGGGAGTTCGCCAGCAGCAGCCTCGCAGCAATCATGATGGAAATGCCAAGGGCTCGGGAGCTTTTCGGGGATGCAAAGCTGCCGCGAAGTTTCGCGGCAAAGAATATGTATTGTTGCCGCGAAAAGTGTGGAGGGAATGCAGGTCGTGCGGAGGCCTCAGTGTTGATTACGAGCAGCCGGATGGCACATCCAAGGATGCAGCCTCGCAGCAATAATGCTGGGGATGCTACGGGTCAGGAGCTGTTGGGGATGCTACAGTCCCGTTAGGCGCCGTTGGAGATGCCGAAGATGCGTGGACATGATTATCGTGATGACTGCTGGTGATGCTGAGGATGCGTGGACATGATTGTCATGATGCCTGCTGGTGATGCTGAGGATGCGTCGTGATGATTACTAGTGATACTGAGGATGCGTCATGATGATTCGCAACACAATCCTGCTCATCATGACTGTCGCCATCATCTCGTTCTTCTATACGTTTCAACTGCGCCGTTAGGCACCATTGGAGATGCAGAAGATGCGTGGACATGCTTATCGTGATGACTGCTGGTGATGCTGAGGATGCGTGAACATGATTATCATGATGACTGCTGGTGATGCTGAGGATGCGTCGCGACGATTACTAGTGCTGCTCAGGATGCGTCATGATGATTATCAACACAAGCATGTTCATCATGATTGTCATCATCATCTCTTTCTTCTATACGTTTCAAGTGTCCCGTTATAAGGCATCACTGGCGATGCAGAAGATGCGTGGACATGCTTATTGTGATGAATGCTGGTGATGCCGAGGATGCGTGGACATGATTGTCATGATGACTGCTGGTGACGCTGAGGATGCGTCGTGATGACTACTGGTGATGCTCAGGATGCGTCATGATGATCATCAACACAAGCATGTTCACCATGATTGTCATCATCATCTCTTTCTTCTACACGTTTCAAGTGTCCCGTTAGGCACCATTGAAGATGCAGAAGATGCGTGGACACGCTTATCGTGATGAGTGCTGGTGATGCCGAGGATGCGTGGACATGATTATCATCATGACTGCTGGTGATGCTGAGGGTGCGTCGTGATGTTTACTGGTGCTGCTCAGGATGCGTCATGATCATTATCAACACAATCATGCTCATCATGATTGTCATCATCATCTCCTTCTTCTATACATTTCAAGTGTCCCGTTACGCACCATTGGAGATGCAGAAGATGCGTGGACATGCTTGTCGTGATGACTGCTGGTGATGCTGAGGATGCGTGGACATGAGTACTATGATGACTGCAGGTGATGCGGAGGACGCGTCGTGATGATTACTGGCGATGCTCAGGATGCGTCATGATGATTGTCAACAAGAATGCTCATCGTGATTGTCATCAGCATCTCTGTCTTCTATGCGTTTCAGGTGTCCCGTTAGGCACCATTGGAGGTGCAGAAGATGCGTGGACATGCGTATCGT